CTATCTATCTATCTATCTATCTATCTATCTATCTATCTATCTATCTATCTATCTATCTATCTATCTATCTATCTATCTATGATATGGTTGTTGTTTTACTTTTTAGCATATTATCTGTATATTGATATATATTTTTAATGTTGATACTGTCTTCACAGTTGTGTGTGAGTATACATTTATGCCTCATATTGTGCAATTCAAGTCAAATTTAAGTACAATGACATTCTATTCTATTCTATTCTATTCTATTCTATTCTATTCTATTCTATTCTATTCTATTCTATTCTATTCTATTCTATTCTATTCTATTCAGGTAAAATGCTTTTATTGTGAAATCTCAGCGGAAGTTGTTTTATTTTTCTGCCGCGGTACAGAGCCACAGACGAGCAGACGCGCAGGAGAACGGACAGACAGCGGGAATCTTGTGTTGTTGTGTTCAAAGGTAGGTAGGTGCCTGGTTTCTTACACACCAACACATCATGATGTTAGCTTAGAATGCTGGTTTTATTTGTGTCTTGCGTGGCTCGTTTGTTACCGTGAGACCGCAGCAGCAGCAGCAGCAGCAGCTGTGTGGACGGCAGGTGCGCGCGCTGCTTATAATAATGAAGCTAACTGGACGATGCTTTGTTCTGGTTGTCGGACACCTTTGTTTTTGTGCGTTATTAAGTCTGTAGATGGAGACAGACGTCGTGTTTTGAGCCGTTTTCTTTCAGGGCTCCACCTGTGACAGCTGGAGGACACGTTATTACGGTGAGGGGTTGTAAGAGGAACAGTAAAAACCTTTATGATGATAAAGATAAAGTGGACGTCGTAGACGCGATACGCGAGCGCGTCCGCCATATTGTAAGATGTAAGCTCACCATGGAAACCAGTCTGCGTAGAAACTGGGTTTTATGAATAATAAAAAAAAAAACTACTAAATTTTACGTCCAGTTCTTTCTCTTTTTTTTTTTTAAATCGTTTTTCTGTCCAAATAGGTATATGCTGATAATAATTATACTGGTAAACGTTGAGATAAAAATGAAAAGTGTCTGAAAAAATAAAAGTCCAACCACTGCAAAACACAGTGTACGTGTGTAAACACNTATACACACACATATATATATATATATATTGCACTAACATCATTAAATAAATTAACCTGATAAAGTGATAAAAGAATAATGTAAATGACATAGCAAGCAAATGGAAATGTAAACCGACTGGCTGGACTACCACTAACTCTCAACTCCAGTTTCACTTCTGTGTGATAATCTTAGCATAATCTGATTATTTGAGACAAACATCTAGTTGACTGTGTGAGAACATAGATCTAAAAATCAATACAGAAAATACGCTGAAAGCAGGAACAATCAAACATCAGACAGTCCTAAGTGTTTATTTTCTCAACTAATACTTCATTTGTCTTTCAGTCCTACAGAAGACTCTCTGCAGTGTAACATTTACCTCTTAAAGAGCAGAAAGGATAAATAGGGAGGGGAGAATAACGCAAAGCTGCAGAGGAAGATAAAGGGAAACAAGATAAGAGCAGCTATGGAGATTTGTGGCTGATAAGTTATTAGAGAGGAAAGCTGTGTTAAAGTGGGGGCATTTATAGCAGCTGGGACGCAGCAGTTTGTGCTGTAGACTCACTAAAAGCATGGGAGCATGAGACTAAATGCCATGGTCGTACGGTGAAACAGAACAGGTGGCTGATGGGAAAACAGAGGAGCTGCAAGTTGCTCAGCTGGGGTGTCTTTGATTGTTTCACATCCAGCTGATCACAAACCTGTTCGGGTTGTTTTCTGCTAAACGGCACAGTGAGTTTAGATTTGCAGGCTCCTCTGGAACCTTGGTTTCTTCAGCRGGACGCTGAGATGTCATTCCAACATTATTCCACACACTTTAGTCTGACGGTGACTGTGGAAACCTTAGTGTCAGTGAAAAGCCAACTGTTCATGCAAAATATTGGAAAAAGGGATGCCAGCTGACCCAGACACAGACCCCATGTCCTTTGAATATAAAACAACAACAACAAAGGGAGTTGTTGGMATTAACTTCAGAGAAGCTTGAAACGGGAGGAGTGACACCTGACAGCTTTCAACCCTGGATGTTTTTATATTAAAAATGTACAAATTGTAAAAATGTCAAATAAATGAATGTGACCCTTAATTCAAGACAGTAAACCCCAAAAAGTACAAATAAATCCTGGTTATTTTAAAAKGAGATATCATAAATGATGCACATACAGTAGATGTTTGTTCAATGTGAAGTCTGACTGAATGAATGAGTCCTGGTTTTGCTTTCGGCAGGTATGGAAAGCGCTCTGCTCAGGAGGATGTGGTTTCAGAGCTGCTGTTTGGTGGCGACAGCAACAGAAATCACAGATCAAGGTAAAAACACCAAACATCTTATAAGAAATCTAAAAATGTTTCAATGTAGTTTGTTAAAAAGATTTCTAAGGCTAATTATGGCTGTTTACTGCTGCAGGTGTTTTTGTTTGTTTCGTTCATCTTCACATTTTTATTAATTTGTCCAGTTAACTGTACTTATGAGAACTTCTTTTAATCTAGTCAATCTAGTCATATCAACAATGACAGTCCTCACTTCTCATTGGCTATAGTTACCATATATAGTATATAATGCTCAGCTTTAAGAAGAGTTAGTCTACTGAGCATAGATTTGCTTTAATTATTGGGGTGTTGATTAGCGGCTTTATCACGATACAATTTATCAGTTTGTTTAGATGATGATATGATGTTTCTCAATATCACAAAGTGCGTCATGATACGATTTTAATTCAGTTCAATTCATAGTCTGCGATTGATATGATGATATATACGTCCATCTAACATAATTATTTGGGTAGATAGACATCTGATGATGAGGATGATGAAAACGATGATGATGATGATGTGTATTTATTTTTTTTTTGCCTTGATGTAATTGAATCACTTGTCATTTAATTGATCAATGCATCGTTACAACCCTAGTTACCCATTTCATTTCTCATCTATAAATAGACTGAGTCTTAAAATGCAAGCTTTTTTATGTTTTATRCACAAAACTTTTTTGGCAACCCAAATAAAGCATTTTTATAACCCAACATTTTATGCCACCAATAACAATGCAGTTACMCAAATAATGTAAAATACTTGTTGGCATATAGTGTTGGCTCAAAGTTTGACATAATATTGTCCAGCAATGCTCCTTACTGTCCAGAAAACAACAAAGAACATTTAAAGAACAATATACTGTAACCCAAACAGATGTAGTTGATTTAATTATATATATATATGTGTGTGTGTGTGTGTGTGTGTGTGTGTGTGTGTGTGTGTGTGTGTGTGT